CTTCTCTTCCTAGTTTGCCCCTCTCTCTCCCACGCTCCCTCTTTCTCTCCCAATACGCCCCCACTCTCTCCAGCTCCCTCTGCCCCTCGCCCTCCCACGCCCCTCGCTGGAGCACCAGCAGCAAATTTAAGGGGATTCACAATTAGGCTGAGTCAAGACGAACAGGAAAAGCCCCTTTGGGGTTCACGCCCTTGTTCAGAGTAAGATTTAGTTACTTTTTAAATGTGAATATCATTATAGGCTTTTCCATAAAAATTGACACTCTGCTTTCAAAATCCCAAATGCAAGCAAGGGAGCAGGTTATAAAGCAGAAGTCAGAAGCCCCGTAGCCTGGCTCTGCCCTCCGCACTGCCGGTCCCTGGTCTCCGTGGCCAGTGTCGCGGAGCAAGTGCTGCAGGCGCCGTTCCCAGAGCCAGGTCCCCTCTACGGCGGCCTCACTCGCGTCTGGTTTCGCTTCTCGTTTAATCGTATATATCAGTATATATCGCCATCTTATTGTGTCGGTACGTATCCATCTGCCTCTTCCTGTGTGATGGCTGCGGGAGCTCTACTGTATGCACGACCATACTTATTTAACGACTCCCCTGCTGATAAAGTGAGTATTTTCAGTTTTTCACTCCAGTAAACACCCTTACACATGAATCTTTGAACAGCGGTCCAATTATTTTCTTAGGATATGTTCTTGGAAGACGAATACAAGATGCATGACCTCAAATTCCTCTCTAGACGGTGCAACGATTTACACCCCACCCGAGGCCCGCGTCCCACAGCATCGCTGACGCTGCCTGTCGCGTCGGCACTCGCAGCCGGCGGCCGAAACCATGTAAATAGGCTTTGCTGCGCCGGGCTCTTTGTACATGGTCCTTTGGGGAGTTTATCTTTTCCATACGGAGTGTTCAGCTCGGTTCATTCCCAAACAGTCTATCACTTCCGTTTAGATTTCTTTTTAACCTGAGTGCTTAAGAACTTCTGAGAAGTTACTAGGTGGTTATAGATATTTTGTGTGATCTTTTTTATTATTTTTGTTTTTACTGCATTGTGCCCTTTTTGCCTTTTGAATTTTTGTCCTGTTTGTGTTCTGTGAATGTCTGGAGACAGTGCAAAGAATACCGGGTTTTATGTATTTCTTTTACATCAAATGTGTTATGCTTTCTTTCAAACATAGTATGCTATTTTTATTGTTTTTCTTTATTTTCGACTCTCCCTGTTGTTAGCTGACTTGATTTAATTGGCTTTGTTTCCCTCCAGTGATTTGAAAGTTCTAGATCCTGTTTTTATTCTGCCAGTGCTCTTGTGTTTTCATTAATTCTGTTTCAACAGTATTTATCCTGTTATTTCGCCTTCTTTATCTTGGAAATCTTGTTTTTATTTTTGTTTCTGTTTGAAAGAAAGTGCATTTCTGTTTTCAGATTGCTCTTGACAGCCTATTTTGTTTTTATCGATGCATTATCTTGCATCTCTCTGAGAAGGCTGTTTGTGTTTCGTTTTATGACACCTCCTGCTTTTCCCTACATTAACTGCATTTTACAGTTAGACAGCGTGGCCTGGCTATTCAGCTGGATCCCTTCAAGGAGCTCATTCTCTTTGCATCCTAGGAGTTTTGTCCTTCATTCAGTATCAATTTGTAGCTAAGACCTGGGCTCTGGCACCAGACCACCCACCACTCCTGCTAGCTATGTAGCTTAGAAAACTCTTCAGGCAGCACTCTGAGCCTCAGCTCTCTCATCT